TGGTTCAAAGTAAGAGGGTTTAGTTAGCCAGTAATTCCAAGGGAATTTCAGGGGTAGCTTGGGTATGGAAAAGGGTAGTTTTATTAGGAATGGTAATTGTAAAGGTAAGGGAAGGGTAGTGTGGGAATTGTAATGGGTATAGGACCTTCTAGAACAAGACTTTAGTGTAGTTTTGGTGAAATAAGTGTTGTTACTTGGGTAATAAGTCTTAGAAATGAGGGACTAAGAAACTAAATAAGAAAGGGACTAAAAAGAAAACTAAAATCTGAAGTTAACCTTAGGTTTTACCTATAAAAAGGCACATACACTGCCTTGTTTAACAAGTTAGAGGGGACCTCTGAAAATTTCAAAGAAAAATCTGAATCCTGAAGTTCAAGTTACTTTTAGATCTCATTTCTGCAAAAAATCAAAAGAAAACATACAAAAAAAAAAGCCCAGTAAAAGAAGACACTGCTATATTGTTTTAAGATTGGTCTTGTTTTCTAATCTAATTTTGCTCAAATTCGAGATCAAATCAGTATGTTCTGAGTTATTTCTAGTTGCTGAAGATCAGAAATCTCCTCCTAAGTTTAGTTTCAATTCGTCTTGGTTCAATCTAGTCTGCTACGTGGTTATTGGAGTCGTGTCCTTCATATCTCGATTCTGGTCTGTTTCTGTTATTGCTGGACTGCGTACGAGCTAGTGCTTGGCTATTAGCTGCTACTGCTTACTACCGCTGACTTCTTCCTCTTCCATTTTTGGTTCAAATTCCAGGTACATGCTCAAATTCGGCTTGATGTAACTATAAATGGAGATGAAATAAAGAGATGCTTGCACATTTGATTCCTAAATTGTACTTACTTTGGTTGTTATGTAGTAATAGCTAAGTAGATATGAAAGTTTAAGATGATTTGATTCTAATTTGTGTACGAATGAACTTTGGACTGTATAACATGGACTGTTCCTAGACTATTTCGGACTGTCGTTAGATTACTTTGGACTGTTTTGATAATAGATTCGAACTAATTTATGTAGGTTTAATATCTTGGATTAAGTGATAATACGTGATCATATCTTGTACAATAAACATTAGACCATTGCGAGATTTATGCTAGTTTAAATCCTTGGATATCCTCTAAAGTTTGTGTCCAGTTTGTAAAAAGCTAAATGTTCAATTTTACTCACTGTGTGAAGATCCAGAATATGTTCGAATTTGATGCTGGGCCCAATATAACATTTGGGTGGTGCAAGCTAGGCCCAGTTATACAAGAATCATCCTAGTATTTGTGGACTGGTATTTACCCATCTACCTATTGCGGGAGTCTCCTGCCAATTGGGCTCACACTGAGGCCCAGTTGCGCTATAACAGTTCATAGAACAAACTATCTATTTCTTATTCCTGGATTCCTTTTAAGGCCCAGTGAATGCTGGAAATCTCACGTTTCAAGGCCCAACAAATGCTTCAAGTTAAAAAATCCTTTTTCAAAGATATACATAGGAATACGGGGAATAATTTGCAAATAAAATTTAGGTTTCGAATTAGGTGGCGGGTTCGAATTAAGAGGGTTTCCCCTTTTGTTTGAATTCGGACTTGAATTCGAGACCCGAATTTATAAATGTGAATTAATTAGGCCCCTTTAAAGACGGAAATGAATAGAAAATCTTAGTCTACTTTAGGTTAGCCATAAAATAATAAAACGAGATGAACCTCGCTAAATAAAATTGCATAGATAGCGAGGCCCTCATTAGTTGCTTATAATAACATGCTTAGAATTCGGGACGTGCCGTTTAGCGAATTTCACGGTTTTCCCTGCAAAGATGATAATCCGCTAGTCGCTATAGGCACGTTTTAATAAGTTTACCTTCTTAAATACGGGTACGCATTTCGCGCAACCCAAATCCAAATCCTAAAACGTTGGATAAGAGGTGTTGAGGATCCGGGTGCATTTCATGTGACGTGATCCAAAGGCACGCTCTTAAACGGCGTTCACTTTCGTAAAAAATAAATTAAAAGCGGCAAATAATCTTGAAAAATTGCACTATAGGTTTAAACGTGTATAAAAAATCAGATTTTAGCCATTTATAATAATTTAAGCGACCGTGCTAGAACCACGGGATCCGGGGGTGCCTAACACCTTCCCTCGGGTCAACAGAATTCCTTATTCAGAATTTCTGGTTCGCAGACTCCAATTGGGAAGTCGAATTTTTCCTCAATTTGGGATTTAAATTAAACCGGTGACTTGGGACACCAAAAGCCAATCTTAGCCCAAGTGGCGACTCTAAAAATAAATAAATAATCCCATTTCGAATAATGTCACTTTAAATGGAAAAACTCCCTTATACATTTATCCTTCGGGGTGGGTGTGTAAAAAAGAGGTGTGACAGTTGGTGTCGAGCATAAACGTGAGTCTTGAATTGATAGATGTTGTGTTCTTAAATGTTACTACGGATGCTTTAATTGAGGATTATCAATATTGAGCAAAGATTTAGTTTATTTTCGTGGATTTTATTTATGATTGAGTGTTGGTACTAATTGAGCTGAGTAGGAGTTGGGTTACGATTGGTTATAGCTCATTCTCCCTTGCCGGGATGTTTGTCTTGATATTGTTGCTCCCTTGCTGGGAAGTTATTATATTGCTTTTGTTCCCTTGCCGGAAAGTTATTATATTGCTTTTGTTCCCTTGCCGGGGTTCCTTGTGATTTTGTGTTGGCTTGTAAATGGGAGCGGGTGGTACGCCTACCACAAGATATAATAAAATGGGATCGGGTGGTATGTCTACTACGAGATATAATGTAATGTGATCGGGTGGTACGCCTACCATGAGATATAATAAAATGGGATCGGGTGGTATGCCTACCACGGGATATAATGAAATGGGATCGAGTGGTACGCCTACCACAAGATATAATGAAATGGGAGCGGGTGGTACGCCTACCACAAGATATGAGAAATGGGATCGGGTTGCATGCCTGCAACGAGATGTGAACTGAGAGTGAAATCTGCCTTTGTCTTCCTTATCCTTGTTAGAAGTTAAATTTTGGTTTTTTGATAATTCTCTTGAGATTCTGTTTTATCTGTTATTCCCCGAAGCATGTTTTCCCTTCCCAGCTTTAATTGTTTGTTCTCAGGTTTATCTGGAGTCTGGTCCTAGCCTCGTCACTACCTCGCCGGGGTTAGGCCAGGCACTTACCATCATATGGGGTCGGTTGTGCTGATGCTACACTCTGCACTCTGTGCAGATACCGGAGTAGTACTAGGACAGCAGCAGTAGCTTGGGAGCCAGCCTTCAGTCCACAGAGATCCCGAGGTAGTCCTGTAGGTGTCCGCAGGCCCGGCGTCTCTTCTATCTACTATTATGTTCTGTTATCACTTGTATCCGAGACAGACTGAGTTTCTTTCCTTCTTTCAGACATTTGTATGTAGTAATCATAGACAGTCCGTGAATGTTGTGACACCGGTTTCTGGGTAGAGACATATGTTGGCTTTTCGTATCGATTTTGGTGTTATGTTAATCTAAGTCTTCCGCTTAAAACCATCCTTCACTATTATTTAAATGTTGATCACCTGTTATTACAAGTTATTAAAAAGCATTAAAAATGAAAGAGTTAGAATTTCTGTATTTCGTGGCTTGCCTAGCTTCTTCGAGTAGGCACCATCACGACTCCCGAGGGTGGGAAATCCGGGTCGTGACATACATAAGCCACCTCAGCTCGTGGCTCAACCCTAGCTTCTTCCCCGACTTTGCTTTTTGTGTGGGTCTTCTTCCAAACCTCATCACGTTTCGCGGGTCTCTTAAGAGCAGCTTCCTGCAAATGAAACAAAAAGAGTTAATAAATTCATGTAATGTTGGAAAAAATCAAGACTGAGATCTTTAAATAATTACCAATCTCCTCTTTTGAGTCCCCATAGACACTGAACCACAAGTGTGCAACGAGCCACCCTTCTCAGAATTACGAGCGGCTTTTGCATGTTCGCTCTTTTGTTTAAAATCATCAGTGTCCCAGTATTTAAGAAGCTCTCCCCAATGATCTGGTAGAACCTAATCAGGCCTTACATCTGTTGTCCGAGAATCAGAGAACGTGTCTGATAATCGACGAGCAATCCTCTTTTTAAAATTGTTTCTAATAAGATGATCTTCGTCGGGACTCCATGTGCACCTTTTCTGCAGTCAAAATATATAGCGTTAGTAGATAAATAAAGTTAGATAGATATATAGTTTATTACAAACAATGTATTCGTACCATAAACTCATTAAGCATTGCTTGCTGCTGACTATGTGGCATACTCCCCCAAGTCTGGTGGGCACCATTATAAACCTTCCTAATGACAGTTGAAATTGCATTTGCAGCCGGTCTAGAAGGATAAAACCTGCAAGACAATGAATTCATTAAAGCCACAGAAACAAAGCCCAAGGAATCCAACCACATATAAGTATTAACATCTTTTTCTCTAGAATTCACTCAAGAAATTGCAATATACATTGATTTAAGACACACCCTTTTGAAAAGAAAGAAAATCTAGTCACGAGAAGTATACTAGAAAGTTAGAAAGTGAAAAAGAAAATGGAGAAAAATGAAGAGATGGACAGTTCAGATATAATGAAGTTAGTTGAAAATGAGGCAGTGTTTAGTAACTTTGTAGATCATAAGTTTGAAGAACTAGACATAGACCAATAAGTAACTCCCTATTCTATGCATTATCTCAAACCAACTACATTTAGTAACTCCTTGCATTAATTTATTTCTTCCCTTGCCCAAGGAAGAGGATGTAATGTACATTCCACTTTGTAACCTCTTATAATAGAGAAAATAACAGAATTCGTACTTCTTCAACCCAACAATAATAATTAATGTATAACACCATAGGTACAAATAAAGAATAATGAACGAAATAGGATACTATGCCATAACGAATAAAAGTGAAAATATTGTCTGAGGTAAACTATTTCATAAACCAAAACCTCCGTCTAAATAATTACAAGTGCGGCCAGGTTCAGCCATCTGAGGCCTTCAATTAACCTCTAGTTTCGGTAGGCAATCGTGAGCAGAATCTCAAAAGAAGGATTGACTACAAGAAGATGACACTACCCTAATTTTGAGATTTAGGGCAGAAATAATTCGAAAATAGAGAGAAAAAAACTCACCGGATAAAGTTGCCTGAAGGTCACCGATGACCGCTTAGAACATCAGCGAGAGCGCTGAGTAGAGAGTTAGCCGCGTAAAATCTGGAGGGAGTTAGCGCTTCTTCGAGAGTTAGCAGGGGAAGGAAAAGCGTAAACAGGGAGCGCTTCTTCGAGAGTTGGTAGGGTTTTGTTCTTTTCCCAATTCCTTTGCCCGCCTTCTAATTACAAGCTAATGTAAAAAAAAATACTATTAATAATTTAAAATAAATCATAAGCTAATGTAATTATTAATTTACAAGCTAATTACTACTAAGCCACTTTTATCCAGTTAAATATCAATTAATAGTCTAATCAATCACTAATATTACTTAAGGATATCACAAATGCACTTCTATTTGGTGAGTTATCATTTTATAAACTAATTAATGAGTAATATTTCTTAAAAAACTGCTAATACACTTCTACTTAGTAGAATTTTCAATGCAGAGGTTAATCAATCATTAATATTAGTTAAAGATATACTATTAATATACTTTTACTTAGTTTAATTGTCAATCTATAAATTAATTATATATATATATATATATATATATATATATATATATATATATAAAAGCTAATCAATCGCTAACATTTCTTACTAATATTACTAATACACTTCTACTTAGTGTAATTCTTAATATATAAGCTAATCAATCAGTAATAGTTCTTAAGACTATACTAATACACTTCTACTTAATTAGTATAATTATCAATGTATAGGCTAATGAATCACTAGCATTACTTCAGGATACCACTAATATTACTTAATGATACTACTAATAAATCTATACTTACCTTAATTATCAAACTAAAGATAAACAATCACAAACATTTCTCACAACTAGCATTAATACACTTCCATTTAGTGTATAATTATCAATGTATAGGCTAATCAATCACTAACGTCGCTTATATAAGGATGCCACTAGTTCACTAATACTTAGTGCTATTATCAATGTATATAGGCTAATCAATCACCAACATTACTTACAGGTATATTATTAATACACTTATATTTCGTGTAATTATCAATCTACAAGCTAAATACAACTAATACACTTTTACTTAGTATTATCAATGTGTATGATAATAAATTATTAACGTTACTTAAGGAAACCATTAATACACTTCTACTTACAGTAATTATCAATTTATAAGATAAATCATCACTAATATTTCTTATGGAAACAACTAATACAATTCTTCTTAGTGTGTAATTATTAATGTATAGGTTAATCAATGTAGTTAAGGATACTACAAATTCACTTTTACTTTGTGTAATTATAAATTATTAAGCTTATTACCACTAATATATTTTTAAGTAGTGTAATTACCTTCACTTAGTGTAAATTTCAATAAATAGGCTAATCAACCACCAAGATAATTAAGTAAATACTTACCGAGGGACTTACCGACGGCCTCCCTCGGTATTGTATAATAAAAAATAAAAAATAATTATGCATAAGATTATATATTTAAATTACCGACGGAAGTCCATCGGTACTGTAAGAACAAAATTCAAAATATTATGTAAATACAATAGCGATTGAGTACATGGATAACTTTTCTTTTTCATTTATTTTTTTTAAAGCACCGAGAGACACCCTAAAAAAATAATTCAAAAATATAAATACAAAATATTCCGAGGGAGTCCGTCGGTACAACCATTTAAATTGACTAGTCAAAATATCATTATTCACCGACGGAAGTCCGTCGGTTCCTTTTTAAAAAAATTAGAAATTCAAAAATTCAAAAGTATCGAGAGACTCCGTCGGAAAGTCCTTCGGAATACCGACGAAAAAAAGTCCGTCGATACTGTTGCGTCGGTAAACAAATGTTTTTTAGTAGTGCGCTCTTTCCATGATCCTTTTTTCCGGTTCAAACAGTAGAGCATTCCAAGAAACCCAAGATATCCAAGCAAATCTTAAGGTCCTACAAAAAATTAATGGACGTTGGCAAATTGGCTTCGCTTTGCACTCTGTCGTTTTGTGTCACTTTATAAAATTGTCGTTTACAAAATGGAAGAGAAGGGGCATGAGTTAATTAACAGCTTAGAGATGGGACAGGAGCAGGTTAAATATCATTGTCATCAATTCAGACGGTAGTTGGCATAAGGTTTGCTACTTTCATCTCGCAGTGTGAATGTCCAAGTCTTCTTTTCTTTAATAATCATTATGGCAAAATAAGCTCCTCTGAGTTAAATCAAAGAATATAGAAGGATGATATGCAAGTATAATTAAGACAGCTTAATGAGTTTGAATTTAGAACTATACGTGTAAATCTAGACAATTACCAGATTGCGGTCTACAGAAACCACGAAAGAAATACGAGCACCAAAGTGTGGTTGCCAGAAAGAAAAAAATCATCATGGTACTTCATGAAGATGGGACTCTCGAAAGGTCATGGGCCTACGTATTCCAAAGGCTTTGGAAAAACCAGACAAGACAACAATGGCCGATAACTTGTCCCACAAGTTGCAATGCATCTGGTCTGTCTCATAATAATTGGATCTCCCTAACAAGAGGATAAAACTGCGCAACACACAATATATACTTGTACAAGGAGGGAGCATTACTACACTATTAACTCAAGAATACCTCAGTATATACTTCACCGGAACAACCTGCAACTGATTTTTCATATCATACAGTTTCATTAAACTTCAAAGGATGACAAACAAATAGACCCAAACATAGCATGACTATGTTGATCTGGCATTGCATAGTACATAGCCAGATATGAGGGAGCTGAAGGCCAAAGCTGCAAATGCAAGGAAGGACATTGCTACGGAGGCACTTGCCATATCAGGAAACTTGTCCTTACCCCAATTGGACTGCCAATCATCAATGCGAGTGGCAGCAGAAGATGATGCTGATATCAGAAGATACGTCACCATCTGTCATATAGAAAAACAGTAAATTTTAACAGAAAATATGAGTATCGCTGCAAGCTCCACAAGTTTAGGCATGAAATAAGAGACCCCTTTTGTTCATTGTCCGGTCACCAAGAAAATTAAGCTCCATGGGGACCAGGTACCAGCTTCGCTGAACAAGTATCAAATGTGCTCTCGTTCCTTATTCAACCTTAAAAAAAATCAGAATTCCTGTATATATGACCTAAAATTGTCTCTTCAGTGGTGGTCTTCAATTAAAGACCTATCCGGGTCCCCAAAAACGTGGATAGTCCATATTAGTTTTAAAGTAACAGCTTATTATCTATCACTACATATACCTCGGCCGCTAAGTATGACATAAACTACTGTAAGTTTATGCAGTTGGTTCTCAAAAGAACCCTTGCTGGTATATCCTTGGGACCTCTCTCCGGGCACTCGGTGACGGGGCTTTGTGGGAAGGAGACAGTCAGGTCGTATGAATACTTTGACGAATGAAAAGGAACTTCATCCAAAGAAATGCCAAATAGACTGACATCTGCTAACTAGAGCTGAAGTATGCATTTTCAAAGTCCATCTCATGGCTAATCAACAAATGTCCAAGTCCGCTCTAAAATATAAAAAGTATCTATGCATACATTTTATATAGTAATAGTTTATTGCTTCTTTTTGAAAGATCAAAATAATCTTATCATGCATGTATCGCTTTGGTGCACGCCTAGGTGCAGGTAAGTTTGTCAAACTACAACATAAAAAAATAACCTTTTAACTGTTAAATATTGGTTCTTAGAATTAGATTAACTGAACCTGAAGTATTCACTGAGTACGAGTAAATAAACTAGCTATTCGTAAACAAATAACGAGAAAAAGGATGGAATGATAAAAACTGCCAAAGGATCTCACTTGAAAACCCAACAAAAGAAACAGCTAAATAAGTAAAAAATATTTTAAAGATCTATTTAGCGCCCAATAGAACTACCAATCCACAAAGGCACCCAACAGAAAAGAAGGTTCTGAAGGTTTAAAAACTATCACCTGTCCTCTCTCCAATCTCTACTGTGTGTTATTCCTTTTAGTTTTGTACAGATTATGTTAGCCGATAGCGGAGTTCTAGTAATTTTACTAGCCTTTTGAAATTTAGTGGGCACACAAAACAAAGCCTATAGCGAAAGTTTATATGTACAAGATAGCCGTGGAAACTTGATCACAGGACTCAATCTGCTAGTGCAGAGTATGCAAACAAGCTTAGTAACTCTTAGATTTAGACTTTGGGACCTATTAAGGTGGGAAAAAGAAACAGACAGCTCACCCTCTTTCACAGGGTTCTGCTTTCAAAACGTGGCCTTTCAGAGAGGGATGGCATTAATCTAATAATATACTATCTATTTGTTTATTTTTAATAAGGGGTCAATATTGGTTAATGGAAGAAATTTTCCCTCAAGATAAATGAAAACAGAAAAGGAATTGTTCTTAGGCATAAAGCAGGGGTAAAGTATATGGCAAATAATACAGGGCTCAGAAGGAGATGCCACAAAAAAGAAAGGTGATTCTACAGTTGGATGGACCTGTTAGAATTTTCCAGCCAATGAAAGTTAGCAATTAATAGGCCCCCAGATGATCATAAAGGAAAAATTCCTCCAACCCTGTGGGAATATTTTTCAGTGAACTCTATGACAAACAAACATTTTTTTACGGGGTATATGATCCCCTTTCCTATATTCATTTTACAATGAGGCAGACAGCTAGAACAGTCTTACACCAGGCTAGTGCAAATCCATCACCACCATTAACGAATTTTTCCTCTCAATCAAGGCTCGCAATATCATACTTCATAAAAGTCATAATTTCCATTACCCCAAAGAGAAGAAGTCAGAAGTTCTTAAAGCTTAAAACCATTATAGTAGTTAGTCATTGCACCCACTTGACCATGAAACATGCGTGCATAAGGCATGTCTTGTATTCATTATTTTAGAATAAACACCACGTGTTCCAGAGAGGGGGGAGCAGAAGAATGTATTCGTGTTAGAATTTAAATTCTATGCACTGATGGCATGAAAATATTTACACAATCAGGTTTTAAAAGGTTCGGTAAATAATGATAAGTAAACTATAATAACAGGTTAAATTATACTGATAGTATACGAATATCACACTGTCAATGTATATAACATAAATATGGGCTGAACCAACTTGCCTGATCAAGGGCAAAATCAAAAAAGTAACGCAAATGGTGCTGCACGACGTTCTTGCCTGTGGCAGATTGGTAGGCCAAACTGAATGCCTGAGCTCCAGAATACACGAATCCTATAACGTTCACTGACATAGAGTACCTGGCAATAAAAATTCACCGACCAATATTATCATTCATAAAAACACAATGAGCTAAGGAATTAAATTAATCTATTTAAAGAGAAAATAAGTGGCAAACCTGAACTCCTTGTAACGTTCGAAAGAGTCCAGAGCCCAACCTTGATTCCTATCAGCTGCCAGTACAGAAAACGAAACCAAGCAAAACAAAAACCCAAAAATCCTAAAACCTAAAGCCGCTTTCTTCACCATCTCATCCCTCTTCCCTTTTCTTAAAATCGATAACGGCGGCCTTACTTTCCTCCGCCGGTTGCCACCGCCTCCGTCGCCACCTTCCCCAATAGTGGTACCATCACTGAACACCAGATCCGCTTTCACTATAGCCAGTGGCTCCTCTTTCATAGACAGTTTCACCACCGCTTCCGGTGACGGAGGTTTCTCCGGCGGACTCCTCGTCGGAGCTGCAGAAGGTTTATTATCCTCTGGATGGAATGACTCGTGAGGAAGAGATATTTGATCGGAGGAAATTGATGACCTCGCCGGAGATTCCGCCCGCGAGGAAGATACCTTCGTAGAATCTCTATTAACAGTAGTATGAGCAGCAGTAGCAGTAGTATTAGTATTAATATTGCTAGCTTTATCTGTGTCGGACTTAGTAGAATCATCTGAATCATAATCGGTACTATGGAAACGAGCTGGAGAAGAGTATTTAATAGCTTTATCTGTTTCAGAGTCTGAAGAATCTGAATAAGAGAGATGATTTTGATTCTCCATTGCAGCTTGCAGAGTCTGCTTGTTGTTGGTGTGATTCAATTCCATATTGAAGAAACAGTGACACAAGGGGATTGAAAATGGGTTGAAACGGAAAGTAGAATAATGAATTGGGAATGGAAGTTGAAAGATGAGGTCGGGGCGATAATGATGGTTTTGGCGGTTTCGCTTTCTATGTCTGAAATTGGGAAAGCTTGCTCACTGCTTAATACTACTGTATTCACGTGTCTAGTATTCTCGATTTCTCCTAGTCATAAATAGCATGAAATAGGGCCGTCCTACCTAATTTTCAAAAAAAGAATGATATATCTAGAAAGCATATGAAAAGTACCACTCCTTATAATCGCAACTTTGTACGAAAACAAAGAAAAGGTTAAAATATCATAATTTATCGATTAATTAATATTATAAAATACAAGTATTTTTGCTATTATACCAAATTCAGAATTTTGTGCAAGCGGGTTCAATTGTAGTAGTCCATAACTAATATGAACGGCATGAGATACGAGGAGCAAATTTTATGAAAGGGGGAACTAAAATTTGTTGGGTTTTGGATGTATTTAATTAATATATTGAATACTTAAAAGAGAGTGAATGGAAAATGGAGGGAAATGGAATTTTTGAGTGAAATTTTAAGTTCCCCCTTGGCAAATGGGCATTGTCCCATATTGGAAGAGGAAGAGGTTTTTTATGGGTATATAAGCAATTGCTCTTCTTCTAGCTCATAAAGAATTGAGAAGAAGGCAAGTCTCGCGCCATCGTCGTCGCTCGCTCGGCTTCGGATTTGGTCAAATGATTGATTGATTAACTTTTTGGACCAAATTTATTTGTTAATAGTAAAATATTAACAGAAATATTATTAAATATTTGTTTTAATAACAGAATATGAATATTAAATCCAATCCGTTTTTCTGTTTTGGTAACAGAAAAGTAACTACCCTCTTCAATTTTCCCTCTTTATTGTTGAGTAAATGGCCATTTATGTAATGGCATTTATGCTGTGGGCGTTTTACATAAACAGCCATTCTGAAGAGTTGCACCTCTTCAGATTTCAGCCCAACTTTGGCTATAAATACAATACTATTCTGCTCAGAATTTCACTACGATTTTCTGAGTTTTCTCTCCTTCTTCTGCATACTTTTAGCATCAAACAAAGCAAAAGTAAGTGTGATTTGCTACCGAACTTTGTGTTCGCTGAAACACTGGGGTTTGAAGTACCACTACACCAGTGTGTAATTCGTTCTATCCTGGGAGGAAATAATCTATAACTTTGGGTACTAGGAGGGGATTAAATTCCTTAAGGAAACACTGTGAATTCAGTGGGCTCGAATTGGTTTTTTATTATTTCGTTATTCATTTCTGTTTATGTTCATTTCTGTTTATATTCATTTATATTTCCAGAATTATTTTACAAATACAGTCTACTAACAAGCTTAAGGAATTTATTTTATTTCCTGTATTTGTACTTACTGTTTCTGGAAGAGTAAAACCTTTGTGGTTTTGTACTCTATTAAAATCTACGTGATTTTAACGTTTGTGTCATTCTTTTACAGAAATGACTAATGAGAATGAGAACCAAGCTGTTCCAATGGTGACTGCCAATGCCTCAACAAGCCGAACGACACCGGCAGCATTGGCACCGGCGGAAAAACCCGGAAAATTTTCCGGGATTGATTTCAAGCGCTGGCAGCAAAAGATGTTCTTCTATTTGACTACTCTAAGTCTCCAGAAGTTCATCAAGGAAGATGTTCCTGTACTGTCCGATGAAACTCCAGAAACTGAACGCTTTCTCGTGATTGAGGCGTGGAAGCATTCAAATTTTTTGTGCAAGAATTATATTCTAAGCGGGCTGGAGGATGCTTTGTATAACGTCTACAGTGGCGTGGAAACGTCAAAGGAACTGTGGACTGTGCTTGAAAAGAAATACAAAATCGAAGATGCCGGGTTGAAAAAGTTTGTTGGTGCAAAGTTTTTGGACTACAAAATGGTAGATAGCAAGTCTGTTATTACCCAAGTCCAGGAATTGCAAGTGATTATTCACGATCTCCTTGCTGAAGGTATAAATCAAATTAATATTGATGTTGAAAGTAATAATCTTAGTATTTTTACTAACAGAAATTTCATTGAAGGTCTTGTCATCAATGAAGCATTTCAAGTAGCAGCAATGATTGAGAAGTTGCCTCCTTTGTGGAAGGACTTCAAAAACTACTTGAAACACAAACGCAAGGAGATGTCCCTTGAAGATCTCATTGTTCGGTTGAGAATCGAAGAGGACAATAAAGCTGCTGAAAAGAGAGGCCGTGGAAACTCAACAATAATG